TTTTTTGTGAAGAAATACATATTACACTGTCGTGTACACGTTAAATCTGCACTAACCCCTAAATACGTGGTTATGTTGAATGTAAAATTAAAACAAAAAACTGCAACTGCAATTGAATGTATGAATGTTGAAACTGTTGAACAGTTTCGGACCAGTGGGGTTAAAATATCGTTGAGGAACTGGAAAGAAGTGTACGAATGTGTTGAAATGCAACACCTAACAAAAATTTGAGTGAAAAGGCTTTTTCATGTAAGCGTTTGGAAGTGCAAGTTTGCAAATATAGGATAAACTATAAGCACGCAGTAGGTGATATAATCACATATGGATTACAAAAGTTGCAGTAAACATGGAAAAACCTTCAGCTAATCTGAAAAAATAGATTTTACTCAGACATCAAGCATTTTTAAAAATTTTGGCTCAGTTTTGCATAATTTCATAATATTTAATAACCTGAAAAGATTTCAATGGCAAGCTGTCACTTCATATTTTACAGTGTTTTGTTTTGAATACTTGAGATCTTGAGGCTGATTGGGTATATTTAACGGACTGTTTGGTAGTCGTACCCTATTGGTGCAGAATAATGGTTTGTTAAATTGTGAGATCCACCTTAAATGTTACATTCATTCTATTGGCAACTATCTATGAGACAAAAGCTATGAAAACGTAGTATAATGCCCCCACGCTTTTTACTCTGAATTGAATTATTCTGTTAATAACTTAAATTTTATTTTATTTTGAGGTCATTAATTATGATTGATTGTTCGAACATCTACTACTGTAATTAAAAAATATTTTCTTCTTTTTAGTTTGGTTAGCTATAAGAGCGTGTTTTTTGTATTTCAAACTATTATTTATTTTTTATTTTTTAGTTCGATTTATCAATTAGTTTTTTGTCTTAGGAATTATTTCGTAATCTAATTGCGCAGATCGCGCGCTAGCTCTATCCCTCTTACTCCCCTACAGAGGATCTATAAAAGAATTTGTCAATCCTGGTAGTCCTAAGATGGATAATGGAAAACTGTTATCAAATTATTGCATTGCCTTTGGTCCTTGATACGTGTGCGAAGTTTCAAATTAATCAAGCTTCTGGAAATTGGTGAAAACTATGCTCAAAGATTGCGTTACGTACATGCATACATACAGGCCAAGCTAATAAGAGCCTGTTAAAAGTAAACGAATTTGGAAATTTGCGCGCATAAACATTGCAGAGATCCAGACGACATCACTGTAAGGAACCTTGCGTTATGCTAAAAATTATTCGAGATAAAATGTGCATATACTTTGAAAATGTTGATGTCCCATAGATGGCGATATACAAGCATATAGAAACATGTAAGTGACTACAGCGCCATCTATGAGGCCGAATCGTAGCGTGTAACAAGTCCAAGCTAAAGACAAAGAGTTTCTTCCATTTAAATAATAATTTTAGAGTGAGCCATATTTGAGTGTACTTACATTAGACGCAATTCCTGAATTATATGAACAATCATAGTCCTTATGCCCCATATTTCATTTGTTAGCCTTGGATTGCAGGAATTATGATCTTTCAACTTTGTAATTTGATCAAAAACATGTAAGCAGCATAGCCAAAGCTTTCAGGAACCATCATCAAGTATCTTAGACTCTTGGTCATAGCTGCAAAATTTGCACAACAATGGGTTCCATGTACTATAAAAGGCAGGGATGTTTCGCGGGCCAGACTTAACTTGATCCTATTAGTGTGTTCTGTCGGGTAGATCAATTTTGCACTCCAGGTAATATTTTCATGATTTTGCTTCAAGTGTGACCATGTCTCGAATGTAGATGCGATTGATTTTACAGTTTGTCACTTTCCCTAATTTACTCATTTAATCTTAGCAGTCCTTCTACTGATTAACATAATCTAGTTCTCCAATAATGTTTGGTAGACGAAATCAATCTCTTGATTAATGATAAAGATCAAATTTTTCTTTCGATTAATGATAAGATGCATAGCTATGTTTATCCGTTAATATCTCCCTATATACTTAAAAGGTTAGTGTCTCACAGATGGCGCTATAGTCACCCATATGCCTGTATAATGTATATGCTCATATACATATACAGCATCATGTATGATGATATAAAACCTTTTTATAACTTAATAATCAAGTTGCTTTGGATAATATCTGAGTAGCGCTGCTATGGTTTCTAACCATAACATATGAGGATGGCAACAAAACTAATAAACGGAAATAATAGCTACAAGAATTGTTCAAAATGAGCATCACCTTTCCTAACACACTCGAGTTTGACGGACTAATCCTTGCTGCACTCTCCAAAGCATTTGGATGTTATTTTTCATTTCCTGGCTATGGTAGAACATTCTTTGTCGAAGATCATCTACAGTTTCCGCTGGCGTATTGTAAGCGCGTCGTTTTAATCACCCCAGAAGAAGAAATCCATAGGATTTAAATCATACTGGTGCTGATCGACCTATCTCTATTTAGGTGCTCTCTAATATACTAAAATGAGGTGGAGCGCCGTCGTGCATAAACCACATATTCATTCGTGTTTGTAATGGAAGATCTTCCAGCAGAGTGGGTGATTGTTCTTCAAGAAATTGTAAATACCTTTGGCCGTTTAGTCTAGGTGGTAACTCAATGGGTCCTAATGAATATTATCCAATTATTCCTGCCAATAAACTAAATCTTATAGCATGAGGATTTTCGTCTGCATAAATGTGAAAAAAATATTAATATTGAAGTATTCAATAATGTAATATATGTATATGTATACGATATTTTATGTAAGTTTAGTTTTAGTTCACTGAGGGTGTGTGTGTTGGGTTTACCTGTTAACACCCCCAACTGTATATAAATAACTAAATAAATAAGATTATGCGAGTTAATGGGCCCATCCCTTCCAAATCCTGCTTCGCCCGAAAATAATGTTATCGAAGTAAAACCATTGTCGTGGTTAAACTTCCTTAAGAGCCCTGTACAAAATTCTACCCTTACGGGTCATCATCCGTGCTTAAACCATGTATTTTTTGCAGGTGGTATGGATGGAGCAGTTGCTCTTGAAAAATGTCATTTACTGTACATTTGGACGCTTGAAATTCTCGAGCTACATTCCTAACCCCAACAGTAAGATTTTTAAAGATACACATTTTCTTCAACTTCAGCTGTACGTACAGTTCTGGGAGCTCCACTATGTCAGCCCATATTTTGAGCAAAACTAACTATTACCAAATCGTTTTTACTATTCAAAATGAGGCATTAGTCATTTCCTACCAGTTTCTCGTAACCGCTGATCGATTCGTTGGAAAGTCATTGAATTAGGCAGTTGTCTATTAGGGAATCTGTCAGCGTACAATCTTCGTGCATTTAAACCATTATATATTGGCAATCCGTACAGTAAATGCATATCAGAATATTCATCAAACGTATACTCCATGATGTTTAACAACTTATTGTCAACTTAAAATTATTCAGAAGTTTAAAGCAAAATTATGACAAACATTAGAAACCATAGCAACGCTACTAAGATATTCCAAAGCAACTTGATTATTATGTGATAAAAATGTTTTATCATCATGGTAGAAATAATGCATTGGAAGTTTTAAAAACAAATATCTCGAAAACTCAGAGAAAATATCAGCTTTAAACACGTAAACCTGTTTTTCGGTCACTAGCTAGATACAGGGTAGCACAAAAAAGTTATGATAAGTTATTTGCCGTAATAGTGCTGTAAGTGTCGCCCTCTAGAAGTTTGGCCACCCTGTATCTCGCAAACTATCAACTTTTGGACTAAGGTATGTTAAGGTCAATTCACATATTTTGGTCCGTAGTATCTCCAGTTTCGAGATTTCCCAACCTTTCGCAGACACCCTGCATAGTAAATAGAGGAACAGTTATAACCAATTCTCATAGATGACACTACGACATCTCATCTTATCCCGGTCTCGGATGTCGTTTTGGACGGGAAAATTTAGCATCAGGTTGGCTATCTTCACGTACAATATGTTAATGGATGGACTAAAATAGAAGCAGGCAGCCATGAAGCACAACCGCCATTTTTGTTGTATTAGTGAAACCGACAATTTATTGGCTACAGACGAAATTAGATTTATCAAATTAATTCGCGTTCAAGCACATTAATTAGTGTTTCCAATTAACACGTACGGGCACGGACCGTTACCAATAAACAAACAGGAAATGAATTCCTGTCGCAGAGTGACTGCAAACACCAACATTTATGTAACGACATATCAAACATGCAAATGCTATTCACAAGTTAAATCATGTTGAGAAAAACTTGTGGAACTTGCTTGCATTATCATGGAAGTTAATTCGATTAAATTTCAAGATTGTACATTGTAACCTAAATTCATTATCAATTTTGGCCACTTATTTATGGCCTCAAATTTTTCTGAAACATGGTACGCATACTCAACTGATCGACTATGATACGAACATGGAAAGAAGTACAGAACCGAGTTACCCAAAAACAACAACTTTTATATTAGACTTTCTGAATTCCGTTTACAAATTTGAAGAGAGCATATATTCTTTATTCTCACTAGCGGAAGCCGTGGTTCAAAGTACCGGGGGTAAGTTGTTCCAATCCAAATAGCTCCGCGATGAAAAGAGACTCCAATAGGTGTGAAGTACGTTGCGAAACGTTATACGTATACTATCACGCTGGTGCATCAGCCATTTTAGTGATGGCGTGGCGGCAGGTGTAGTGGTAATCAAATAGTGGTACGTTAACAGCACGTAAGTAAATTTGTTTCTCCTTAAACTTTTTGGTCTATTTCAAGCAACATTATAACTATTTGTGTGTGACTTGCTATTATCTATGTATGTATTTTCGCGTTCTAGGCATTCAGACGTGTTTGTTTTCGCTCTGACTTTTTCGTATTTTTCTGTGGTTAAAACTGGTCGTTTCTGCACCAATTTATACGTGTGTGGTGGTCGTAATGTGCAGTTGCTGTGAACTATACTTTGATACAGTGAGCTGCACTTAATCAAGCAGTCATGGCTACAAACTGTGCTAGTTGCCATTCATTGGTAAATCGCTCGAAGCCAGGTATACCGTGCGATGGTTTTTGTGAACAGTCTTTTCACATTTCTTGTGTGGGAATTCCATCAGATGTATTGAAAGTAATAAAAACACCTGGTTTATTCTGGTACTGTCCTACAGGCTCTCAGCAGAAAAAAGATTTTGATCGAGTATTTATCAAAATTGATGATAAAGTAGATACACTTATTGCTGATGTTTATAATATTTTCTCCGAGGCTAAAGGTCATCTGATAAATAAGGTTGATGAAACTTTGGAACAGACTGTCTCACAAAGGGTCCCGGGTCCAAGTGCCTCATATGCAAATACCTTGAAAAAGACTGTGAACGTGATTGTTACGCCAAAAAACAATGATCAGTCTCATTCTGCTACGAGGCTTAGAATTAGTCAGTCTGTTGACCCTGTAGATAACAATATAAGATTTTCTCAGGTGAAAAATATAAAATACGGTGGAATACTGATCAAATGTGATGGTTCGGATGATGCCAATAAACTGAAGGATTTGGCGTCGCGGCACCTTTCTGCCGATTATGAGGTGAAGGAGGTGAGGAAGTTCAACCCGCGCTTAAAAATTGTTGGAATGTCTCAGTGTATCGAAAAAGAGGAGTTGTGTACAATGCTGAAATCTCAAAATAATGCGTTTCATGCTGAAAGTGAGTGTAGTGTTTTAAAAGTTTGGCCAACAAAAAAATCAGCTACTGTTTATCAAGCTATTTTAGATATAGATTGTACTACTTATGCTAGTGTTCTCAATCAAGGTAAGGTCCTTGTCAATTATGATAGTTGTGCGGTTTATGACGCAATCAATTTAAAATTGTGCTTCAAATGCTGTGGGCTGAATCATTATGCAAAAAATTGTAGAAGTAGTAGTCAAACCTGTGTAAAATGCTCTTTGGATCATAAAGTGTCTGATTGTCGATCTGTCAATCTGAAATGTATTAATTGTGTAAACGCCCGTCATTTAAAAACAGATCACGCTGCCTCGGATACAAATCAATGTACAGTATACAAAAATAAATTAAATGAATACAAAAAATCTATAACAGGTGACATATAGCAACTATCCTGTGTAAATTTAGATTCTGGAATCGAGCATAATGAAGATATTGCTCAATATGATCGAACAGACTTCTGTATTTATTATCAGAATGTTAGAGGATTAAAAATCAAATTGCACACTTTATTCAATGCGTCCTATACTTGTCCTTATGATCTAATTGCTTTAACTGTGACTTGGATTGATGATAGCATCCATAATAGCGAGTTTATGAGTAGCGAATTTAGTGTTTTCAGATCAGATAGGAAATATGTACAAACTGGCCAGACTAAGGGAGGTGGAGTTTTATTAGCGATACATAAAAAATATAAAGGAGCTGCAATTGATTTTCAATGTTCAGTCTCGGAAATTGATGTTGTTGGGATTAGAATTGAACTCATTCGCTGTACAGTTTACCTCCTCCTTGTTTATATTCCTCCAAATCTTACTGTGGAGACTTATGAAACTTTTTTTGAAAACATCCTTACATTAGATTGTTTCAAGCTTAATGATACTATTCTTTTTCTGGGGGATTTCAATATCCCTACATATATAAATTACCTCATTGATAGTACTTACTATAACAATTACATTTCGGTTGTCAAAAATATGAGCCACTTCTTCAATTTAGTTCAATACAACCATATACGTAATGCATATGATCGCATCCTGGACTTAGTGTATTGTAATAATTTTGCACAGGTGAGTGCTGCATCCGATATTTTACTGCCTATCGATGCCTATCATCCTCCTCTAGAAGTACGTGTGTCTTTTCCCTGTCGCATGAGAAATTTCCATACAAACAGTATTCCGCAGTATAATTTTAAAAAAGCAAACATCCCGGCTCTTTATAATAGCATCATGAATTTAGATTTAACTCTCCCGTTACATATTACGGATATTAATATTGCCTGCGATCTTTTTTATAAACGATTGTATGTTGCATTTGATAGACATGTTCCTTACACATTGCCGAAAGATAACAAATATCCTCCATGGTTTTCTCGCTCTATTATCTCAAAAATCGGAAAAAAGCATCGTCTCTGGAAACGATACAAGCGAACAAGTAATTTGTCAGATTATGAATTATTTAGCAGTTTACGAAGAACAATAAAAATCGATATTGACATGGCTTATTCAAATTTTGTTGAAAGAACCGAGCGCGCTTTGGCTCACAACCCTAATAACTTTTGGTCCTTCGTAAATCATCGCAAAAATTTCGCCAATATTCCTAGCAACATGTTTTCTGAAAATACTGAGTTGAAAAATCCTGAGCAAATAGTGAACGCCTTTGCAGCATATTTCCAATCTACTTATATTTCCTCCTCGGAATATTTATCTGACTCTGCCTCAGTGAACGATAGTTCTTGCCTATCTATTATAACAGTTCATGAGAAGCATGTACGAAATGCTCTGAATAAGTTGAAACCTAAATGCTCAGATCCAGATTCCATACCGTCTTTCTTTCTTAAGGATTGTGCTTCGGTACTTGCTCAGCCCTTAGCATACCTTTTTAATTTGTCTTTAAAAACTGCAACCTTTCCTGACAAATGGAAAATGTCGAAAATTACTCCAGTTTTTAAGAAAGGCGATAGGTCACATATTGAGAACTATAGAGCGATTGTTATCTTGAGCAATTTGGCGAAAGTTTTTGAGTTTGTACTTTTTGAGGTCGTGTTTTCTCATGTAAGTCGTACCATCTGTACTGGTCAACATGGTTTTTATAAAGGTAGATCAACATGTAGTAATTTAGCATGTTTCAAGCAATACGCTGCGGAGGTTTTGGACAAAGGAGGGCAGGTTGATGTAGTCTATACCGATTTTTCAAAAGCTTTCGACCGTTTAGATCACGGTATTTTGATACACAAGTTGTCAAAAATTGGTTTAACGTCTAGATTTCTTGATTTTTTCCAGTCATACATTAATAACAGACATTTACGTGTAGATTATCGTGGTTACAAATCATATCCGGTGTTGGCTACGTCAGGCGTACCCCAGGGTTCAGTGCTTGGCCCTTTGTTATTTCTTATATTAATTAACGACATAGTAAGTGACTTGCGGTGTGAGTATTTGCTGTATGCTGACGACCTCAAGATTTTTAGATGTGTTAATACCTTAGATGATAGTTTAGCATTGCAAGCAGATCTGAACCTTGTACATCAGTGGTGTGAAGTTAATAATATGCATTTGAATGTTGATAAATGTTGCACTATGACGCTAACACGCAAGTTGGAACCGATAGAATCTGTCTTTGAGATTGGAAACAGCTCGCTCCTGAGAGTTTTTTCGTTCAAAGATTTAGGTGTTTTGTTTGACCCCAGAATGACATTTATCGAGCAGATAAATACTATTGTAGCAAAAGCGTACAAAAATCTTGGTTTTGTTATCAGAAACAGCAGACAATTTCATAATGATAAAACTTTAATCTTACTATATTATGCTTTTGTTAGATCTATTCTCGAATATTGTTCTATTATTTGGTACCCGGCTTACGATGTACATTCCCATAATCTTGAGAGAGTTCAGCGACGTTTCGTGAAGTATTTGTGGTATAAAGAAGATAGAGTTTATCCTGAAAGGGGCTTTCGTAATGACATATTATTAAGCAGATTCAATCTGCCAAATTTAACGAAGCGCAGACATTTATTCGCTGCTACCTTTTTGTGTAAATTGCTAGATGGCAGCATTGATTGTCCTTCACTCTTAGAGAAAATTTATTTACACATACCTAATTTGCGTGCTCGTCATGGTAGCAACAGTTTATTCTATTTACCTGTTCCTAGAACAAACTTATTGTTGTTTTCACCACTCTATGTTATGTGTGGCATTTGTGAAAGTGCACGTGCACTTGATATCTTTCACTACAGTAAAGACAGCCTTCGAAGGTATTTTCAAACTGTCGGCTGAGCATGCTGTACTTCCTGCCTGTTCAATGGAGTGTTCCGTTCAGGCAGTGTATTGAATCTAAATAAATAAATAAATAAATAAATCTCTTGGGCAAACTATAGCCAATATATTTTTAGTACCATTGTTGGCTTCTAATAACGTAACCTATTATAATTTGGAGGTTACTCAGGCAATGGGATTTGGGGTTCAAAGTTCCTCTGGCGGATGGCTAGTTAACTACAAACGGAAAACCGAGAGGGACATACCTTCTGCAACGGGCAGCTGATGCTGTTATTAAAGATGGTTGTAAGCTTAAGACCGTTGCTAGAGAACTAGAGATATGTCATATGACGTTATTTCGCTATGTCAAAAAGTTGAAGGCGGATATAACACCAACTGTTGATTATTTTTCTAGACAGGTGTTGAACAACAAGCAGTAAAAGATATTGGGCGAATATTTGTTGAAATGTGCGTCAATTTAGTTTGGTCTCTTGCCAGAAGAAGTGAGGAAATTAGCATATACCTCTGCTGTCAAATTTGACATGCGTAACATTCCTGAATCTTGGCATAGAAATAAAGAAGCTGGAGCTGATTGGTTGGCGGGTTTTCTAAAAAGAAATACGTCTTCGTCCATAAGAACTCCTGACGCTACAATTGCAGGACGTGCATCTTCTTTTAACCGGCACAATGTCAACGAATTTTTGCTTGGAGACATCATATTGAAATTGAATCATAACGAAGAATCACAGGTACAAGAAATTGCAGACCCTGAAGAGCATCAGTTAGATTACAATATGGAAGCCATTCCAGGTATTGAGCCACGCCTAGCAACAACAGGATCAATGATCAACGAACATCAACCAGGTCCTTCGAACATTACTGATTTTCCAAAGAATGTCACTCAAGTAATATCTCTCATATTTTCCCCTGAAGCCATCAAACCCTTACCAAAAGTACCTCCAAGTCTACAGCAACTAAGCGCCGAATTAGAAAATCTGCAATACTGACAGACATGCCTGAAAAGAACGCATTAGCTGAAGCAAAAGGAGAGGAAAAGTCAATAAGAAAGAGAATTGAAAAAAAGAGTCGGCAAGAAGAATACAACTGGTGAGGAAAATGGAAAGTCCTGCAAGACGATGATGAAAGCGATTGTGAAGAGGCAGCCTAGAACGGTATTATTTGATATGATGCGACTCACTTTCTAATTCAAAACCAGGAGAATAATGGATTGAATGCGTTACGTGTAAGAATTGGGCTCATTCAAAATGCCTAAATTCTGAAAATATGCGTTACTATGTTTGTCCGAATTTTAGTTGGGATGACGAATCCTTTGATTGATAATAATAAATAACTTGTTATCAACTAATATTATTTAATTAATGACTGAAGTTGGAAGTTGAGAGCGGAACAACGTGGGGCGTGTTGTTCCTAGTCGAGTTTTTACAGAAAATGGAGCGTGAGCCAAAACAAATTGTTATTTCAATAAATTCGACAGTAAAATATGAAAGTATAATGAATTCTGCATCTACTTATATAGGAATCATGAATTACAAATATGTTTATTACATTCATAGTGGGTCCGACACAAAAATCGGAACTTCGAACCCCGGCTTCCCCTATTCCTTCTTGTTATTTAAGCAGACGGGTTTTTAAGAGATAAGAGATACTGGTTTTGTTAATTCATTCGGGAGGACAAAACTTATGGTCTAACAATTTTATAGCTCACTATTAAATACTAGTCGATCATTAGTGCTAGATTCAGAAGAAGGTCATCGTATCGATCAGTTACCTCATCTAGATCAGTAAAAACATGCCTATCAAGAATTAAAGGTAGGCGGTTAAGGATTATAGCATGTGCAGTGTAAATGGCAACATTGGCTCGGTGGTATTCATCCAAATTTTGTGTGATTTAACAAACCAGAAAACAGCTGGCTCTTTAGGGGTATTTTCCCCTATTAGTATCACAATCGATTAGATAAGCTGGGAATGCGTAGAAAGTTTCAAATAAAATAAAATAAACGATTATGGATTTCAACTTTTTCTTTATAGACTCACAAATTTACCACCAACCTGTATACCTTTTTTAAACTGGGTAGGCGTACCCAGCTAATTCTATTAAAGTGGTCGTGATACTAATGCAAAAAGAAATACAGGTCTAGACTCACGACAAGTTAACAAATTCTCACTATCCCAAAGCAACCAGCCACCCTATGCGTCAATAAATCTCACACTATCTGGACGGGTACCTCCGAATTAATGATGCCATTTACATCAGGTTGCTTTTTCTGGTACAATACGCTATTCAATGGTGATAGACGCGATCATCGTCATACTTGCGGATTCCTACGCTTCTATCTACTAGATTATAAGCGGGTATACAGAACCAATAAATTATTCCATTCAATTCTTAATGCTTGAGCGCTGTTTGGCTTGTCTACGTTTGCCATGTCAATAGTTGCAAAGCGCTGGTGAAGCAGACAAATGCATACCTTTAATTATGTCTAATGAATGGATTGCTGCATTCAGTCTGGAGGCAGCATTTAGTTCAATGTAATTATTTGATACCCTTGCACGTTGAGAATGAAAATGCTCGTAAAAGTAGAATTGTTTCAATTACTTGAAGTGGTTCACTCAAAGGTGAATTCTTGTCGTTTCAGATTCAATTCTCATCATTGGGATCTCGGAAACGGTAAGAGATACGAAGTCAATTAAATGGAGACAGAGTTGAGCATTTAGTAAAGTGTGAAAATGGCAATTGAGAAGTTTCAAATACCAGCGTATTTCCGGGGATAGACAAGAGAAAAGTTGAATGTTGCCAAAACCTATTTGTAGTGGGATTTCACAATTAATTGCACATTAATGTCGACACTTTTTCCCTTTTTGCAAGGTGACATAATTAGGATTCCAATATGACGTTCCGTATCTTGACTCAACTTCATTTCTTCTCGAAAACACCCGGTACAACTTTTATTTTCTCTCACAAATACATGTTCATTGTGACTTACCCTATCACACTAGATCTTGGTATAGGGTAATTTGAGCTGCGTTAACAGGTTTTGTACACAGATAGAGCTGAAATTCTGAGTTATCAAATCACTTTTGTCAAATTAATTTCATTGACTATTTTGTCAAACATTGTTTGAACAAGTGCACACACATGAGTGAGTTTAAGAATGTTCCACTAAAAACTAAAATGAACGCGCCCAATCGATTTTGCTTATTAATAACATTCAGTCATTGGACGTTTTTTGCCTATTCAAACATTAGTATGTTTAGCTTAAAACTACAAAGAGGTTCTGGTCCACCAACTGGTTTTTGATTACCCCTAAGCAAGTTTATTATTGTGAAAAATTCATCAAAATCGGTTTAAGTTTGCTTAGGATATGTGGTACTAAACGAGTGGTGTGTTTAGATGAATCACCCTATTTGTCTGTAAAAAATGGTTTCATCTTTTTTTCTTTCCATATATGAAAGGACCTCAAATGATACTAGCTTTTGTTCTCACGGGTTTTGGCGGGAATGTTATCAATGGCATAAGAAATATACAGCGTGTCCTAGAAGTCGACGTCATCCCAGAAACGGGGGATAGTTATTAAAAAATTAAAAAAATCTAAGTCGTGTAGTTTTCAAATTATGGGCTTTAAGAAAATCGGAAGATACTACACTCTGTGATGATATTTTATTTCCCATTAGCAAAAATTTATTTTTTTTCTTAGAGGGAGTGAGTGACAGTGTCATTCTACATAGCAACAGCAGGACAGATAGTAAAGCAAAATCAATTAATTCGTGAATGTATTTATTAAGTTCACAATACATGTTCAAACTGCCTTCCTTCAGCAACAAATCGTGACAACTTAAAAATGATCGGGTTGTCAGTCGGGCGAATCTCGCGTTATTAACAAATTTAGCTGCTTTCGTTATTGTGTCCAGTAGCTCAGCTAAATTTTCGATCGGCTTTGAGTAGAGGAACTGCAGCATATTTGGAATACTGATTTGTTTTTTGGAAATAAATTGCAAGACAAAATAAAAAATGCGTTAAATTATTGGGAAATTATTAAATTTTAACGATATAAGCAATCAAACAAAACAAAAACCAGGAACCATATATAGCATTCCAAATTATAATCACTTTTTTGAGAATTGTTTACACTTTTTGTAAGAAACTAATAAATTTCTCAACTTTGTAACCATTTTACAGCCTTTGGTAATTAATCAGCTTAACAGAATAGCTTATAATTAATAATTATTCAGAAATCAGTAACAATAGTAAAAAATCAGTATTTAGCCTAAACTTATAGCTTAGTGATCTTACAATAATCACAGATATACAGACTGCATTCATAACCACTACAAGCAGCGTGAGCCCACAATTCGCATATTAAGTACCGTACCTATTCCAAATTAACAAGAAGACAAGATAACTTAAAGTTCCATGTTACATCTTTAATTATGAATATATTAACTAATAAGGCAACATAAGAGTTCAAATAATTGCAATGAAGACTATACGTATCATAGTAAATGATCATCAATGATTGCATTCTCACCTGAAAATAGACGTTTCGTTCTCATGCGGTTGGTAGTAGGAAATGTCAAGATAGCGTCCTGTTTCTATTACTTGTGGTTTCATATAATTGATGACATTATATTCACGGCAAGAGAATACAGATAGCGTTTACATTTATTTCGATAGTTACCTGCAGTATTCCAAATATGCTGCACTTCCTCTAAACTTTTTCTTTCACCTCTCCCCAGTAAAAAGTGACTGGATTTAGGTCAGGTCAACGGGCTGGCCAGGAAATTGTACCAGACCGCACTATCCATCTGCTTGGGTATTTCGCATCAAGATATTCTCATACTGCACGGGCATGGTGCGCTGGGCAGCCGTATTGCTGGTATCACATGTCTCTGTAAATGCCCAGTGACGCGCTTCTAATATATTTGGTAAATTGTTTTGTAAAAAGAACCCGCCTGCGCTTGTTTCTATTTGAAGTACTCAGATCTTCCTTCACCATGTGGTGCAGCACAAGCATTCCATCTACATTCCCCATAAATGAGGAGCATGTTGGCGTATTCCTGTATGGTGTATACAGATATGGTGGTACTACACAATAAGGAATTAATAAAAGTGACACCGTCCGTCTAAGCAAAAATCGACATTTATAGTAATGGTAACAAAAAGATCATCAAACGCTGTAGTTTTGTCCGATTTGTTGAAGCTCCATAGAAAAAATGCATACTGAGCAAACCGCTGTTAAAGTCCTCACATCAGTTGTTAAATAAAAGACCATTGCTTCTATTCACTTCCACAAAATACTTCAATAAATTTGAACAAAACTATCGATATTATGTGATGCTAAAGAACGTATGTCTGAGCTTACGCAAACAAAAGTTCGCACACAAAGGCAGGTTGCATTGTTTTCTGTGTGATCCGACAAAAACGGTGATTTTGAACATTCGAACTGAAGAAACACCCACCTCGCGCATCAAAGGTAAACGGCCTAGGTTCATGAGATATTCAATCACCTTTAAGACCCTAAGTAACTTAGAAGGAACTGACTTGTCAAATTATTCTCTTTTCTCTAGTGTCGCTCCTGTCCGTATTTCTCTCTCAGGATCAAATATACACCGAATTCTTCAATAATATATAATTAAGGACCGTGTATAATACTCAAATCCTTATTTCTGCCGTATTGATTAGAAATACTGATACGTTGGCGAGAAAATTTTCGACGTGGCGTGACGACGATAAAAAACGTATGTCTGAGCTTAGCCAAGCATATTTGTAAGAGAGATGGATGTATAAAAATGATGCCGGTAGCTTTAGTATTACCCGCAAAAAATATACCATCTGATGTGCCCATTCCCTTACAGAACCACCTGTAAACATATAAGCTAATGAAAGAAATTAGAACGAATTATTCAACAGAGTGATTTAGTAACTGTCCGTTAAGCTCATTATTTCCGCATATTACACCGATCCGAATCGGGATGGTGTTTGTTTACT